CGTACAGGTTGGGGAAGAAAGGGCGGGCGGCAGTTCCTAAAACCGAAACCCAACAGTAAACTGTTTGAAGAGAAAAGGATAAGGAAAAAGAACAAGAGAGGACAACAAGGAGTTGTCTTCTTTTTCATTGTCTTGTTTTTCCGTTTTTTTGCGTCTATCAGAATCTGGGGCTACTTGGCAACCTTCTCCTCCCCGGACCTACTACCTGCTGATGAGAAAAAGAGACAGGCCCCGGCAGTCATGCTTTCCGCGACACCATTTAAAAACGTGACAAATGATGAAAGAAATGTTTAAAACGCAATGCCAGCAATGCTGCTTTATTGTTTTCCTGGGCGTTCATAGCTACTAGGAGAAAAGACGCTACTAGGGGCTCCTGGCCGTACTACTCGGAGCAAGGGACGCTACTAGGGGCTCCTGGCCGTACTATTTGGAGCGAACACGCTGCTATGTTTGCTTTAGCCTTTCGGGACGAGATGGCGATTTGCATCCGCTCCTGCAGAAGGCTCAAGGGTCGCTCCACTGAGAGCTTCGAGGAGACGCAGCTGCGGCCCTTCCCCAGCGAGACCACCTAGGCAAAAGGCAACAAGAGATGGCCTCTGACCTAGAAGCAATGGCCTCCAACCTACTAGGCCTCAAACCTAATAGCGATGGCCAAATGAGTTGCTACAGTTGTTTTATCATTCCACGTGTTTTGCATGCTTTCTTGTTTACTTTTCGACTGCCTGAGCATGTGTCCCAAGGCTAATCGGCAAGAATTTCAACAGCATTCCGGCTTAATCGAATAAAGGAAGAAACCTCGTTTGTTTGGAATGGAATGGAATAAATTTTGTATTAATGGCCATCGCTGCTAGGTTGGAGGCCATCGCAAGTAGGTGTCTTTTTCTCTCATGTTTCTGTCTTTTGTTTTTTCTGCCTCATTTTTGGACGTGCTGAGATCGTGACTGTTTCAGCCTTGTAGCCCACACACACGCGTGGACATCTTATGACCTGTACGATCAAGGGCCGATCGAAAAATCGAATAAAACCAAGAAATAGAAAAGAGAACTTGAGGCTTAAAGGAAAAAAAAACCTAAGCCTTGTCATGTCTCAAAACAAACAACAAGCGGAATTATCGTCCATTTGGGCCTCGGTCGTAGGTTTGGACAGCTCCAAAATGTGCTGTAATAGCACACGTTTGCACCTAACAGCGAAGAAGTTGTCCAACATAGCTTTCCAGGTGCCCTCCAACCCACTAGCCACGTCCTCCAACCTAGTAGCTACTTGCTCCTAGTAGTACGGCCAGGAGCCCCTAGTAGTGTTCTTGCTCCTGGTAGCGATGCCCTTTGCTCCTAGTAGCGATGGCCTCCAACCTACTAGTGAGGTGCTTTCCAGGTGCCCTGCAAACTCTTTCTGCCAAAGTTTGAGGCACAAAGCGGCTGAACATGTTCACATGCCGGGTTCGTGACGCAAACTCACGCCGCTGCGGATTTGGCAGGAGCAAAGCTAAGTATTTCATGAGCGGCCACCTGGAGGCTCAAGGCTATTGAGGCTCCAAGCCACTGCATTTCGCCCAACAGAGCGTTTCTAGCTAGTAGATCTAGTAGTAATGCCCTTAGCTACGGTCGTAGCTTCTTGCTCCTAGTAGCGATGCCCTTTGTTCCTAGTAGCTTCTTGTTACTAGTAGCTTCTAGTTACTAGTAGAAATGCCCTTGTTCCTAGTAGCGTCCTCTTTCTACTAGTAGCGATGCCAGGAGCCCTGTTCGTAGCGTCCTTGTTACGTTCATAACGACGTAGACGACACGCACGCCTGGACTGCAGATATGGCCGCACTTTGTGACACAACAAGGTGTGCACCTCAAGGTGTGACGACCGTTTCAGGGAAGCCTATGGACGACAAGGGCACATCACATCATTTGCCAACATAGAATCCTGTTAATTTGCCAATGCTGTCGCGAACTTAGTGGGTTGACTTAGGGTTCGTTGCATGCGTTCGTTACATGCGAAAGGGTGTGAAGGAACAACACCCGGCAACATCACGGTTTCATCTTCAGTCTCCGGCAACCAAAGCTGGAAGCAAAGATACCTTCGATCGAGTTGTTGGCAAAAGAAAGGATGAGGAAAAAAGGGAACACAAAAAATAGACACAAAAAAGGAAGAAAGGTCTACAAGAGTCAACGTGAAGAAAAATGAAGTTACATTTTAAAAAAACTACAAAAGGGAAGAATTGTAGAAAGAAAGAAAGAAAGAAAGGAACAATACAAGGAAACAGAAGAGGAAGAAGGAAAGAAGGAAAAACGAAACAGAGTCGTTCTCTCCGATGGACCAATTCCTTGGCGGTGTTCCTAGTAACGTCCTTGCTCCTAGTAGCGATGCCAGGAGCCCCTAGTAGCGTCCTTGTTACTGCTTAGTAAGGCACTTGTTACTAGAAGCCGGCGATGCACTTGTTCCTAGTAGCTTCTTGTTACTCCGAGTTCACAGTCTGCAAGCTTCTGTAGGCTTCTGACGGCTTTGTCATAGGCACGAAGTGCCACAGGGCGGCAAAACCGTGGGCCCTCCGTGTGTGCTGCCTTCGCAAAGAACGGCCTCCAACCTAATAGGGATGGCCTCCATAAGAAACAATGCAATCAAAGCTGTATCAGTCTTGTGTCTGATGATGCCTTGTCGCAGGCAAGCTGAACACTAACCCACAATCAACCAAAAACAACGAGCATCACTGCCTGCCTCAGTGACCCAACTGAAGGTATCGAAAGCATTGCTACGGCTTTCCACCTGCATGCAGCAGTTTCGGCAAAAATGGCCGCGTGGACCAATGTCGAAACCGAGCTAACCTGATTCTTTGTTCCTAGTAGCGTCCAATCGCTCCTAGTAAGGCCAGGAGCCCGTAGCTTCTTGTTACTACTAGTAAGGCACCTGTTACTAGAAGCGATG